CGGGTTAACCTCCAAAATTTATAGAAAACTAATACAACTCAACAAAAGGAAGATAAAGAATCCAATTAAAAAATGGGCAAAAGGACCTAAATAGACACTTCTCTAAAGTTGACATACAGAAGGCCAAAAGGCATATGAAAAAAAATGCTCAAGGTCACTAATCATCCGAGAGATGCAAATCAAAATGACAGTGAGGTACCACCTCACACTTGTTAGAATGGATATAATCAATAAATCAACACAAGTGTGGTGAGGATGTGGAGAAAAGGGACCCTTGTGCACTGCTGGTGGGAATGTAAACTGGTGCAGCCTCTGTGGAAAACAGTTTGGAGTTTCCTCAAAAAATTAAAAATGGAACTACCATTTGACCCAGTGATTGCACTTCTAGGACGATATCCCAAGAATTCAGAAACACTCATCAGAAAGAATATATGCACCCCTGTGTTCATAGCAGCGTAATTTACCGTAGCTAAGATTGGGAAACAGCTTAAGTGCCCATCAGCAGATGAGTGGGTTAAAAAACAGTGGTACATCTATATAATGTAATACTGCACAGCTGTAAAAAAGAAAGAACCATTTGCAGCAGCATGGATGGACCTGGAGAGAAAGATAAGTATCACATGATTGCACTCGTACATGGAATCTAATGAACAACATAAACTGATGAACAAAAATAGAATGTCAAACCCTAGAGCAGCGGTTCTCAACCTGTGGGTCGCAACCCCTTTGAGGGTTGAACGACCCTTTCACAGGGGTCGCCTAAGACCATCGGAAAACACATATATAATTACATATTGTTTTTGTGATTAATCACTGTGCTTTAATTATGTTCAATTTGTAACGATGAAATTGGGGGTCACCACAACATGAGGAACTGTATTAAAGGGTCTCAGCATTAGGAAGGTTGAGAACCACTGCCCTAGAGGGAAGGCAGGGGAGGGTCGGGGTGGGAGGAAGAGATCAACCAGTGAACTCATGCATATATGCATAACCCTTAGGTGGTGAAGGCCTGTGGGGGAAGGGGGTAGGTGAGGGCAATGGGGTTGGGCGTGGGGAAGGGGTCATCTGTAATACTTTCAGCAATAAAGTTAAAAAGTTTAACTTTAGTTTTTTAGTCTTAGCAACTGAACATTGCTATTAGCTGAAATTGAAAGGACTGTAGTTAGGGCAGGTCTGCAGTGGAGTTTCATTACACTTTTAGACACCTGGTGTGAGATGTCTATTACATACACAAAGTGGAGGTGTTCAGTGGGTAGTTTTATGTGGTTGTGGGTCAGGGAAAAGAGGTGCTGGGTGAGTTCACTAAAGGAGTGGGTTAAGTCTGGAAAAGAGATCCTGGAACTAAACTTTTTTTTAAATATGTTTTTATTTTAGAGAGGAAGGGAGAGAGAGAGAGAGAAACATCAATGATGAGAGGGAACCACTGATCGGCTGCCTCCTGCATGCCCCCTACTGGGGATCAAGCCTGCAACGGGCTACCTTCTGCATGCCCACATTGGGCTTTGAGCCTGCAACCCCGCCCATAGGCCCTTACCGGGAGTGAGCCATGACTTCCTGGTTCATGGCGAGCTAAGCTTTTGATCACTTACTCCAGTTTCCAAGTTGAATGATGTGAAAATTCTGAGCCTCAGAAGATAATTGTCCTTAGGATGTGCTTCGGAGAAGGGATTTATCAGCTGTGTAAATGTTGCTGATAAGTCTG